AAATGGAAGTGGGTGGCACGCCTGCCACGAGATACAGGAAATGGGATCAGGTTGCATGCCTGCAACAAGATGTGAAAAGAAAGTGAAATCTACCTTTGTTCCCTTATTCTTGTTAGTGGGTGGTTTTTGATTCCTTAATAATTCTCTTGATATTCTGTTTTTACTTGTTATTCCCCGAAGCATGTTTCCCCATCCCATCTTTATTTGTTTATTTCTTCTTTACTTTTCGCTGTATATTATATAACTGCACAGGTTCATTTGGTAGTCTGGTCCTAGCCTCGTCACTACTTCACCGAGGTTAGGCTAGACACTTACCAGCACATGGGGTCGGTTGTGCTGATACTATACTCTGCACTCTTTTGTGCAGACCCTAGTGTTGTGGACATCGGACCGCAGTGAGATTGTTGATTCTTGATCATCAGGTGACCCGAGGTAGGCTTGCAGGCGTTCGTAGTCCTTGGCGTCTCCTTCTATCTACTTTCCTGCTTCTTACATATATTTCGAGAGACAGTGTTGTATTTAATTCTTTCAGACCTTTATTTGTGGAATTCTTAGACCGTATGTGAAACTGTGACACCAGTTCTGGGTAGTCGAGACTCCAACAGTTGTAGTAGATATTCATGTTTAGATAGCTTATTGTTTCTTTCTTCCGCTTATGTTAAATTTCGTTGTTTAAATGTTATCATTTCGAAATTGTTAATGAATATAAAATGGGTAAAAAGATAAATTGTGAAATTAATTGGCTTGCCTAGATCGTATTAGTAGGAGCCATCACGACTCCCGAGGGTGGAAATCCGGGTCGTGACATTACATTATTTGGACTCCTTAATGGCTACCCGATTTTGGTATTACCTAATAGCTTGCCTAAAATGGCAAGCAGATCTTAAGAGATTCGAACCAAATCTAGTTCAAAATCCTTAACCTGTTGTGTATTTTGTCTGTGTTCATCTCGTGTTCTTTGTGAGTATGGTTGTTTTACGAATCTCTTGTGGATTCTTAGTTAGCCATAAAGGTTAGCGTTTCAGATCTTCTTTAATTGAACCAAATCTGGTTCGATTTTATGTTTTTTCTGAATAACCTCCTGTCTATATTCATTCTATTAAAATATATGATTCTTTGCCTTTATTTTGTATCGATTTTATGGTTCACCTAAAATAAGGGTTTCAGATCTGTGATTGAACCAAATCTGGTTCGATTTTGGTTTTCTTTTTTTTATTTTGAATAATCTTCTGTCTATATTCATTGTATGCATTATGTGATCCATTGCCTTAATTTTCTGCCGATTTTGTGAAAGTTTACCTAAAACTAGGGTTCAAAACTTTTGCTAATTTTTCGGTACTCTTTCATTTCTCATATGGGACTTATATTTTCCTTATTTCTGTTCAATCTACCATGTTTCCTTTATCCCTTTACCTTATTTACCTTGAGACTGATTGTTAATTGATTCCACATGATATTTTCCTTATTTTAAATGTTACTCGCCTGATTACACGCTACTATGCTCTGTTAACTTACTGAACTCTATACAATTGATTCTGGGTTTAATTTCTTTCCTTATTTGTGTATGTTTGATTTTTTTCCCTTATTTGTTTGCCTAATTGAATACTATTTAAACCCTTTCCCCTCTCCCCTTTAAACATGACTTGAATCCTCAATCCTCAATACCCTTTAAAAATTAGCTTTGAGTATGATTCTGCTATTTTATATGATTCTACTCATGAGTGACACTGTTAGTTGGTTATATGAATCCTTGTAAAACTAGCTTAATGTTTAACTTGTCTATGCACACGGTTTGCTAATCCTGCACCTATTCTGAACTTTGCATTTTTAGGGTACTATCAACATGTAATTAGTTAATTTATCCTAACTTTACAGATTAGCTACTTAATGCATATGTCCTGTCAATTTGTTGCTAACATGTCTAGTATCCCTCTGAATTCATGTGATAACCTGACTATTTTGACTAATTGCTTCTGTGAGTAAACAAGGTCGTCCTAAATGCTAGCATTGAAAAACTAGCTTAACTAGACTGTTAACCAGACTTCAACTCATTTGAACTATGTGTTTGAGCATGAACCTTGTTTGTTTTCTAGGTCTACAAGTTCCATGTCTTGAACTTTGTTTTCTTCCGAAATCAAAACTGTTTAAATCTTCCTCTCTTTATATGTTGTTTCTCTTTTAAAAACTTTCACTCTTAGTCCCTTAGGTTCTATCCTCAACCACCCAGTGTGAGCACTGCTCAGGGTCCATGTGAGACCCTGTGAACTCTGACGCACTGGGAACTGGTTCCTAATCTCTTTTAAACATTTCTGAGTGTGTGGTTCTGGTGTGAGCATTGCCCTGGGTCCCTAAGGCCCTTGAGAACAGTGACACATTGGAAACCTAGTTCTACATGTGTTATAGGTGAGACATTCGTATTTGGCTATATTGTACCTATGAATTGAGGCTCGAAGTTGATTGGTTTGAAGGCCCGGTTCCTAGATTTATTTGGGCCTAATGAAGGCTCCCTATAGTGCATTTTATTACTATTGTGTAATTAATTTATTATTTGGTCTGTAATACCTTTGTAATAAACAGATTCTGGGGTATTTGGTAAAATCGGGTGGGAGGATTTCTCATTTCCTTTTGTTGAACTAGGTAGAAATCCTACCTATAAGGATTCATTTATGCTATTAATTCTGCTCATTTGTCAAAATTGTTAAGTTCTGCAATGTACTTGGAAACCCAGCCTATAAGATTTTCATTGGTGATGTCAATTCTGCTTATACTCGTACGAGTTTCATATGGTGTGTACATTAGAAATCCTGCCTATAGGACGCATCAATATGTGTTAGCATCATGCCTATAGGACCCCAATGTTTGATTCAATTGTTTGCTGGTAACATGTACAATTTCTGCCCTTGTGCTGCTTGATAGATATCATGCCTATAGGATTTAAATAAATTCAGTAATAGATATCATGATTATATGATTTAAATCAAATTTGTAATAGATATCATGCCTATAGGATTTTACTAATTGGTTTTGAATACAATCGCCATTGTCAATCACTTAGACAATATGCCTATAGAACTTAATAATAATTCTGGATTCTATAAGTGTGATGCATTACTGTTTGAAGTACCCAGACGATATTCATTAAAATCATTAGGCAATAATAGGTCATAATACTAGCCTCATTGAAACTGCATCTATATAATACTGCTCACCTATTTCTCACCTAGATATCCTACCTATAGGATTTTAAGATCGATAAAGATTGTCGATTAATTGCGTGCATTTGCTGTTTATATGCAGAGGTTAACATGAGCCCCTATTTGCTTTGTATTTGCAAGTATTAACATGTTTTATTTGTCACCTAGTCTTTTACATTTCTGAGCAACCTAGGCTTAGTCTAGAACTATACCAAATAGAGGTCCTAATTCCTCTAGGGCCATAGATAAGGGACGGGTAGTGCACGCATAGGAATCGAGATAGAATCAATTACGAACGCTTTAGGTAACAACTTAAAAATAGTAATCGGGTAGTAGGAGATGATAGTCTGTGCCCGTTAAATAATATGAGTAACATCCTGACTCGAGGGAGTTATGAAGTATTATTTATACTGCACGGGGTGATCCTTTAGGCTAAAAACTATAGGACCCCCCATCCCTATTAAATTTCCTCTTGTTTCATTATTAGACTAATTCATAAGTTAAGTTCAGTCGGGACCCACCGTTGTGGATCTCGGGGGGTGCCTAACACCTTCCCCTCAAGGTAATTTTGAGCCCTTAGCCGATCCCTGGTGATACAAACTAGTATAACATGAGTAATCTGCTCTAGGTGCCCTAACGCACCTTAATCTGTTAGGTGACGACTCTAACCAATTCCTTTTTCCTACTCTCTCAAAGGAGTAATCAAATGTCAAAACCCGATTTTGCGAGAAAAAAGGGGGCACAACATGGATTATTCTGGGAGAGGCCATTTTAGCAATCCAGTTCCTTAAGCTTATTAGCCTGCTTGTGGAGCTCCAGTTAAGTCTTTATTTAGTGTATTACCAGCACATAGTTCCTACCATACTCCTTAAGTTTATGGCTCTTCAGTGGGTACTAAAGTTACTAGAGGTAGCCTTAGATTCAGCAGCCATTCTTAGCTCGAGGTTGTTTTGAGTGTGGAGAGGTGGGGCATATCAAGAAGGATTGCCCTAAGCATTGTAGAGGCACAACACAGCGGGATTCTCAAGCTGTGATTCTACTGCCAGTTGTTATACCACTGGCCCCACCAGCTAGATGGGGAGCTTAAGTGGTCAGGGGACGTCCTAGTGAAGGAGGTTAGTCGGGTAAAGTTCAGGCCCACTATTATGTATTTCTAGTTAGACACAAGGCGGAAGTTTCTGAGGTAGTCATTACGGATATTCTTGCGGTCAGTCATATTGATGCTTCAGTATTATTTTATCATGGTTCTACATATTCCTATGTATCATCATACTTTGTATCGCCTTTGGATTTGCCCCGTAGTTCTCTTGAAATCTTGTACATGTATCTATAGTTGTTGGTAAATCTATTATGGTTAATCGTATGTATTGGCCTTGTGTGTTTACCATTGGAGGTTATGACACTAGTGTTGACCTCCTGCTGCTTAGTATGGTGGATTTTGATATGATTTTGGATATAGATTGATCATCTCCGTACTATGCAATTCTTGATTGTCATACTAAGACTATGATATTGGCTCTACCAAGGTTTCCAGTGGTGTAATGGAGAGGTTTTCTCGGCCATACTTCCAATAGAGTGATTTCATTTCTAAAGGATCAGCAGATGGTTGAGAAGGGGTGTTTATTATATCTAGATTTTATTAGAGAATTTAGTGTTGATACTCCTATTGTTGAGTCAGTTCCAGTAGCGAAGGAATTCTCTGATGTATTTCCTACAGACCTACCAGGCATGCCACCTGCTAGGCATATTGATTTTGGTATTGAATTGGTGTCTGACACTCAGCCCATATCTTTTCCACTATATCACATGGCTCCAACTGAGTTGAAGGAACTAAAGGAGCAGTTGCAAGAGTGGTTAGATAAGTGGTTCATCAGGCCTAGTGTATCACCTTGGGGTGCACCAGTATTCTTTGTGTAGAAGAAAGATGGTTCTATTAGCATATGTATTCACAATAGCCAGTTGAACAAGGTTACCATCAAGAACAAGTATTCATTGCCTTGCATTGATGAATTATCTTATCAGCTTTTGGATGCCAATGTTTTTGCAAAGATTAAATTGAGATCGAGTTATCACTGGTTGAAGATTCGGTCTTCTGACATACGTAAGACGGATTTAGGGACTCGTTATGGGCATTATGATATTTTGGTGATGTCTTTTGGTTTGACCGATGCCCCAATAGCTTTCATGCATTTTATTAACAGTGTATTCCAATCTTATTTGGATTCTTTTGTCATTGTGTTCATTGTTGATATCTTAATATTTTCCTATAATGATAAGGAGCATGAGCAGCATTTGAGGATTGTGCTCCAAATTTTAAGGGAGAGAAAGTTATAAGCTAAATTCTCCAAGTGTGAGTTTTGATTGGACTCAATGGCATTCTTTGGCCACGTGGTGTTTAGTGATGAGATCAAGGTGGATCTAAAGAAAATTGAGGCAGTTCAGAGTTGGAAGAGACCTTTTACCGCTTTGGAGATCAGGTTTTTTTTGGGTTTGACAAGGTATTATCATCGCTCCATTGAGGGTTTATCATCTAATTCGGCCCCATTGACTATATTGACTCATAAGAGCACTCCATTCAGATGGTCTAACGAGTGTGAGGAGAGATTTCAAAAGCTCAAGACTGCTTTGACTACGACTCCGGTATTGGTATTGCTTTCATGATTGGGGGTCTATACTATTTATTGTGATTCTTCATGTGTTGGTCTTGGTTGTGTGTTGATACAGGCTGGTAGCATCATGCCAATTGAATACCTATGAGAAGAACTATCTGGTACATGAATTTGAGTTAGAAGCTATTGTGCACGCGCTCTTGATTTGGAGGCATTACTTGTATGACGAATCTTGTGAGGTTTACACATATCATCAATGTCTTCAACATTTGTTCAAGCAAAAGGATTTGAATTTGAAGTAGCAGAGATGGTTGAAGTTTTTTAAGGTCTATGATATCATTATCTTGTATCATCCGGGGAAGGTTAATATGGAAGCAGATGCCTTTAGTAGAAAGGTGGAGAGTATAGGGAGTTTGGAATTTATTCCAGCTGTAGATAGGCCTTTGGATATGGATGATTAGTCTTTGGCCAACAGATTCATGAGATTGGATATTTCGGAGCCTAGTAGAGTTCACACTTATGCATTTTCGTAGTCATCCTTGTTTTGAGTGCATCAAGGCACATCAATATGATGATCCCCATTTGCTTGTCCTTAAGGACATGGTGGGGAGGTGGTGCTAAGAAAGTGGGTATTGGTGATGATGGAGTATTTAGGCTTCAGGGTCAGATCTATGTTTCTAATATAGATGTTTAAGGGAATTCATTCTTTAAGGAGGCTCATAGTTGACGGTATTCTATTCTTCTAGGTGCTACAAATATGTATCATGTTTTGAAGTAGCATTATTGGTGGCGAAGAATAACGAAGGACATTATTGGGCATGTGTTACTGTGCTTGAATTTTCAGCAGGTCAAGTATGAGCATGAGAGACTTGGCGGTTTACTTCAGAGGTTAGATATACCTAAGTGGAAGTGGGAGCATATAACTATGGATTTTGTGGTAGGGTTGCCATGAACATCGAGGAGATTTGATGCTATTTGGGTCATTATGGAGAGGCTGAGCAATTGTGCGCATTTCATTCCGGTCATGACTTTCTGCACTTCTGAGTAGTTGGTTCGGATCTACATGATAGAGATTGTCCTCTCGCATGATGTGCTTGTTTCTATCATCTCGGATTGTGGACCTCAATTTACATCGCACTTTTGGAGGGCTGTTCAGAGTGAGGTAGGCGCACCAAAAGGTCAATTTCGATAAGAGCCAGTGCTTCCTCTCGAACAGAGCTCCTCGCAGAAATTCTAGATCATTGAAGAGGAATAAAAAAAATGGTAGTTTTTCTATCAAGTACCTGGATGTTTTCTTGTCCCTCAAGAGAATAAAGAGAGAACCTTCCTCTACTGGAGAAAATGAAAAAGAAAATCTCAAATTGGAAAAGAAAATTGTTGTCCTCCAGAGGTCGACTTTGGACGAACAGTCCTAGAAGATCATTCAAATCTTGGAGGATACATTGACATCCTGTGTTATATATTTTGGAGGCCAGTAGGATCAGTTATATACCATTAGTAGAGTTTGCCTACAATAACAACTACAAGTCTAGAATCTAGATGGCACCATATGAGGCATTGCATGGGAGGACATATCATTCTCTTGTGGGGGAGGTTTGAGTAAGACAGGGATAGGTTGTTGTGTACAGATTTGGTTAGTGATGCTTTGGAGAAGGGAAGTGGATTCAGGAGCGGCTTCGTACAACAGAGTCCATGCAGAAGAGTTATGCTGATAGGAAAGTTCATGATGTGGCTTTCACAAAGGGTGGAAATAATGGTTAGTTTATCCCTCGGTATATTAATCCATTTGAAGTGTTCGAGAGGGTTGGTGATGTGGCCTACGGACTTGCCTTGCCACCCAGCTTGTCAGGAGTTCAGATGGTATTTCATGTCTCCATGCTTTGGAAGTATCATGGAGATCAGCCACATGGGTTATATTTTAGTTATGTGCAGGTGGATAACAATTTGGCTTATGACGAAGAACCAATGGCCGCTTTGGATAAACAGGTTCAAATATTGAGGTAAAAACAAATTGCATCAGTGAAGGTTCAGTGGAGAGGTCAATCGATCGAAAAAGCGAATTGGGAGACCAAACATAATAAGCGGAGCAGATATCCTCATATTTATGGCATTCCAGGTATGATTCTAAACCCATTTGAGGAGGAATGTTTGTTAAAGATGGGGAGAATGCAATGACCCAGAAGATCATTTTGTGCATTTGATCCTCGTTTCCCTATTTGATGTTTTCCGTATCTTATTTGTTATTTTGTGACTTGCGGGGATTGTAGGTTTGTCTTTGGTGAGGGTTGAGAGTTAATTTAGACACTTAGCCTCATTTAATAAGCTTAAGTTATAAGAGTTTTTCGAGGTTTGTCTTTTGAGTAGATGGTCTCATATTCATGATTTGTTTGTTTCAATGGGTTCAATAGGTTCGTATGGTGATTTTGGAGAGTTTGTAAGTTTGACAAAGAGTTGGCATTAATGATATCAGACTCAGATTGTTGTTTCAGGAAATCGAATAGGTACATATAGATGTTTGGAACTTGTGTGTGATGTGTGGTAGGAATCCAGAACGTTTAGGCATGATTAGGACGTCTTTGGCAAAGTTGGAAGATTTGGAAGTTAAGAGATGGGTTTTTGATGTTCGATTAGAGATTTGATGTCATTCTTGATGGTTTGGTTTTCTATATGAGTTTGGAATAGGTAATTGGACTTGCTAGTATTATCGAATGGTGTTTCGGGAGGCTCAGGTGTGATTTGGAGTGATTCAGGATTATTTTGTTTCATGTTGGTAGAACAAGTTCCGGTGTGTCTCACTTGCGAAAGTTTTTGTGCATGTACGAGATCAGCAATCCATGTAGCCCATCTATATCATTGCAGAAGCAGAGAAGCGTGCGCAAAATCGAAGATTGGCCTTAGCTAGCTTGGGAGTCAGCATGGGCGAATGTAGCTGCGCAAAAACACTTCTTCACCTACGAGAGCTGAGCGCAGAGGTAGCTCCGCAGAAACGGACAGTGTAATGCGCGAAGGTGGATTGCTTAACTGGAGCTCGCATCTGCGAGAGAGATGTCGTAGAAGTAACGTTGCATGAGAGACCAAAATGTCTGTAGAAGCGGAAATCACTGGTAGAATGTTATAATTTGAGGGTTTTGCTTATTTTCACTATTTGAGATTTGGAGCTATGTAAGAGGTGACTTTTGAGGAGATTTTCATCACTAATTTGTGGATAAGTAATTTTCACTGATATTTGACTATATATTTTGAACTCTCATGGATTTGTACACTTAAATCATGAGAGTTGGGAGGAAAAATTTATGATTTTTTCTAGTACTTATGACAAAGAATTTTCAGGATTTGATGGTCGATCTGGAGTTGGTTTTTGAATCTAATCACATATTTTGATCTGTTGGTTTATGGTAGTTGGGATCTACCCCTTGACTTAGATTTTGACTGTGTGGGCCTAAGTTGACTTTTGGGGATTGTATAAAAGATTTAAACTTTATTGTTTATAATTGATTTCTATTACTTTGTTTGATGTTATTCGGTTATATTTGACTAGATTAGAGATATTTGGAGTTGGATTTTTGACGATTTGGCATTTTTGGTGATTTTCAGTTTCTGGTTGAAGGTAAGTCCATTGGCTAACTTTTTTTTTGAGAGGGAAACCACCTAGATTTGATTTGATTGATATGTGTTTAACGGATTGAGGGTGCTGTATATACGAGGTAGCGAGCATATATACACTTAACAAGTTTACATCATGATCGGGATAGAATTGAGACACTTTATGCCACGGCCGATAATCCAAGTAGTCGCGATGGAACCTAACCCAACCCGCTAGGTAAGCCAGATAACACTAAGACTTAAATTTACAAAGCTAGTATCAAATAAATACCACATATGTTTGAAATGTACATAACATATTACAAATCTAAAACTATCAAGGACAAGTGGTAGTTATGTCCAAAAATCAGGTACGTCTCCAATGCTGACTCCCGCCATACTCAGCAGCATCAACTCCAAGATCTGCACGCAAAGTGCAGAAGTGTAGTATGAGTACAATCGACCCCATGTACTCAATAAGTATCGTAACTAACCTCTGCGAGGTAATAGAAGCAAGAATTATAAATGATACTCGCCAATCACCTGTAGAGTCCATAAATTCCAATAAATATAGAACAATAATATGATAAAATCATGAAACTTCAGATAATACCACCTTGGTGCACACAAAGTTTCCTTAGCGTCCCATGTTTAGTCAACAATCCAGCATATAGGGAAGATATTCTATGGACAGTTTATGGTAATTCTAACTATTAGGAATTATCCAATGGGTCGGTTCAATGATCGTATCTCTATATGCATCATCTATCTATGTGATCTTTATCCAATAAAGACGATCACATAAATATTGATCTAACCGGATTACTAATATTCAAATTAATAATCCTATGATCAAGAACAAATTTAGATTAAATTATAAGAAATTCCACTCTCATTATCATGATCTCCATCACGATGGCAAGTCTTGAAATTTAATCAAGAACCTTATCAAATTAATCAAGTAATTAATAATAAGTATGATAAAAGAATATCAAATGCAATGTATTTTTATATCAAATAATATTCACAAAAATATATTTAAATCATCAAATATAAGATTGGGTCTAGAGCATATCTACTATATTCCCAATAGTATATTTCTAAACTTAATTGATTCGGGTACTGAGACATAATTGGTTAAGT